CAGAGGTTACCTAGCTATATAAAACCTCAGAGTTCCGACTCTGCTGCCTACAGCCGTTAGGACTGATTGAGGATTTATATGTCATATAGGATATGTAATTTAGGGTCATGTTGTAAATTCCTATTGTCATTTATTTTATCTAAACTGAACAAAAATATAAACACAACATGCAACAATTTCAAAGATTTTACTGAGTTTAAGTTCATATATGGAAATCAGTTAATTTAAATAAATAAATTAGGCCCTAATCTTTCACATGACTGGGAATACAGATATCCATCTGTTGGTCACAGATACCTTCCAAAAAAAATAAAAGTAGGGTCGTGGATCAGAAAACCAGTCAGTATCTGGTGTGACCACCATTTGCCTCAAGAAGCGCGACACATATCCTTTGCATAGTTGATCAGGCTGTTGATTGTGGCCTGTGGAACGTTTTCCCACTCTTCAATGGCTGTGTGAAGTTGCTGTATATTGGCTGGAACTAGAACAAGCTGTCGTACACGCCGATCCAGAGCATCCCAAACATGCTCAATGGGTGACATGTCTGGTGAGTATGCAGGCCATGGAAGAGCCATGGCCTGTTCACCCCGCTATCATCCGGAAGGCGAGGTCAGTACAGGTGCATCAAAGCTGGGACCGAGAGACTGAAAAACAGCTTCTATCTCAAGGCCATCAGACTGTTAAATAGCCACCACTAGCCGGCTACCACCCGGTTACTCAACCCTTCACCTTAGAGGCTGCTGCCCTATATACATAGACATGGAATCACTGGCCACTTTAATAATGGAACACTTGTCACTTTAATAATGTTTACATACTGCTTTACTCATCTCATATGTACAGTTGAAGTCGGAAGTTTACATACACCTTAGCCAAATACATTTAAACTCAGTTTTTCACCATTCCTGATTTTTAATCCTAGTAAGAATTCCTTGTCTTAGGTCAGTTAGGATCACCACTTTATTTTAAGAATGTGAAATGTCAGAATAATAGTAGAGAGAATGATTTATTACAGCTTTTATTTCTTTCATCACATTCCCAGTGGGTCAGAAGCTTACATACACTCAATTAGTATTTGGTAGCATTGCCTTTAAATTGTTTAACTTGTGTCAAACGTTTTGGGTAGCCTTCCACAAGCTTCTTACAATAAGTTGGGCCCATTCCTCCTGACAGAGCTGGTGTAACTGAGTCAGGTTTGTAGGCCTCCTTGCTCGCACACGGTTTTTCAGTTCTGCCCACAAATGTTCTATAGGATTGAGGTCAGGGCTTTGTGATGGCCACTCCAATACCTTGACTTTGTTGTCCTTAGCTACAACTTTGGAAGTATGCTTGGGGTCATTGTCCATTTGGAAGACCCATTTGCGAAGCTTTAACATCCTGACTGATGTCTTGAGATGTTGCTTCAATATATCCACAAAACTTTCCTTCCTCATGATGCCATCTATTTTGTAAAGTGCACCAGTCCCTCCTGCAGCAAAGCACCCCCGCAACATGATGCTGCCACCCCCGTGCTTCACGGTTGGGATGGTGTTCTTCGGCTTGCAAGCGTCCCCCTTTTTCCTCCAAACATAACGATGGTCATTATGGCCAAACAGTTCTCTTTTTGTTTTATCAGACCAGAGGACATTTCTCCTAAAAGTACGATCTTTGTCCAAATGGGCAGTTGCAAACCGTAGTCTGGCTTTTTTATGGCGGTTTTGGAGCAGTGGCTTCTTCCTTGATGAGCGGCCTTTCAGGTTATGTCGATATAGGACTCATTTTACTGTGGATATAGATACTTTAGTACCCGTTTCCTCCAACATTTTCACAAGGTCCTTTGCTGTTGTTCTGGGATTGATTTGCACTTTTCGCACCAAAGTACATTCATCTCTAGGAGACAGAACACGTCTCCTTCCTGAGCGGTATGACGGCTGCGTGGTCCCATGGTGTTTATACTTGCGTACTATTGTTTGTACAGATGAACGTGGTACCTTCAGGCGTTTGGAAATTGCTCCCAAGGATGAACCAGACTTGTGGAGGTCTACTGTTGATTTTCCCATGATGTCAAGCAAAGAGGCACTGAGTTTGAAGGTAGGCCTTGAAATACATCCACAGGTACACCTTCAATTGACTCAAATGATATCAATTAGCCTATCAGAAGCTTCTAAAGCCATGACATCATTTTCTGGAATTTTCCAAGCTGTTTAAAGGCACAGTCAACTTAGTGTATGTAAACTTCTGACCCACTGGAATTGTGATACAGTGAATTATAAGTGAAATAATCTGTCTGTAAACAATTGTTGGGAAAATTACGTGTCATGCACAAAGTAGATGTCCTAACCGACCTGAGTGTATGTAAACTTCCGACTTCAACTGTAAATACTGTATTATATTCTACTGTATTTTAGTCAATGCCACTCCGACATTGCTCATCCTAATATTTATATATTTCTTAATTCCATTCTTTTACTTTTTAGATTTGTGTATTGTTGTGAATTGTTAGATACTACTGCACTGTTGGACCAAGGAACACAAGCATTTCGCTACACCCGCAATAACATTAGCTAAATATGTGTATTTGACCAATTCAATTTTACTTGAAGTATAGAGAGATCCTTGATGAAAACCTGCTCCATGACCTCAGACTGTAGCGAAGCTTCACCTTCCAACAGGACAACGACCCTAAGCACACAGCCAAGACAACCCAGGAGTGGCTTCGGGACAAGTCTCTGAATGTCCTTGAGTGGCCCAGCCAGAGGCCGGACATGAACCCGATGTAACATCTCTGGAGAAACCTGAAAATAGCTGTACAGCGACGCTCCCCATCCCAACCTGACAGAGCTTGAGAGGATCTGCAGAGAAGAATGGGAGAAACTCCCCAAATACAGGTGTGCCAAGCTTGTAGCGTCTGAAAAATTATTTCAGTTTTTCATAACTTTGCAAAAATATCTAAACGGGTTTTCCTTTGTCATTATGGGGTATTGTGTGTAGATTGATGAGGAAAAAAACTATTTAATCAATTTTAGAATAAGGCTGTAACGTAACAAAATGTGGAATAAGTCAAGCGGTCTGAATACTTTCCGAATGCACTGTAGTGTTATATATGTGTTGACCTTTCATTTTAGTCTGATAGTTTGTATTGCTCTCTGTTGGAGAGTATAGGTTCCTTATACAGTTGAAGTCGGAAGTTTACATACACTTAGGTTGGAGTCATTAAAACTTGTTTTTCAACCACTCCACAAATTTCTTGTTAACAAACTATACTTTTGGCAAGTCGGTTAGGACATCTACTTTGTGCATGACACAAGTAATTTTCCCAACAATTGTTAACAGACAGATTATTTCACTTATCATTCACTGTATCACAATTCCAGTGGGTCAGACGTTTACGTACACTAAGTTGACTGTGCCTTTAAACAGCTTGGAAAATTCCAGAAAATGATGTCATGGCTTTAGAAGCTTCTGATAGGCTAATTGACATAATATGAGTCAATTGGAGGTGTACCTGTGAATGTATTTCAAGGCCTACCTTCAAACTCAGTGCCTCATTGCTTGACATCATGGGAAAATCAAAAGAAATCAGCCAAAACCTCCGAAAAAAAATGTGTTGACCTCCACAAGTCTGGTTCATCCTTGGGAGCAATTTCCAAACGCCTGAAGGTACCACGTTCATCTGTACAATCAATAGTACGCAAGTATAAACACCATGGGACCACGCAGCCGTCATACGGCTCAGGAAGGAGATGCTTTCTGTCTCCTAGAGATGAACGTACTTTGGTGCGAAAAGTGCAAATCAATCCCAGAACAAGAGCAATGGACCTTGTGAAGATGCTGGAGGAAACAGGTACAAAAGTATCTATATCCACAGTAAAACGAGTCCTATATCGACATAACCTGAAAGGCCGCTCAGCAAGGAAGAAGCCACTGCTCCAAAACCGCCATAAAAAAAGCCAGACTACGGTTTGCAACTGCACATGGGGACAAAGCTTAAGGACAACAAAGTCAAGGTATTGGAGTGGCCATCACAAAGCCCTGACCTCAATCCTATAGAACATTTGTGGGCAGAACTGAAAAGGCGTGTGTGAGCAAGGAGGCCTACAAACCTGACTCGTTACACCAGCTCTGTCAGGAGGAATGGGCCAGAATTCACCCAACTTATTGTGGGAAGCTTGTGGAAGGCTACACGAAACGTTTCACCCAAGTTAAACCATTTAAACGCAATGCTACCAAATACTAATTGATTGTACGTAAACTTCTGACCCACTGGGAATGTGATGAAAGAAATAAAAGCTGAAATAAATAATTCTCTCAACTATTATTCTGACATTTCACATTCTTAAAATAAAGTGGTGATCCTAACTGACCTAAAACAGGGAATTTTTACTAGGATTAAATGTCAGGAATTGTGAAAAACTAAGTTTAAATGTATTTGGCTAAGGTGTATGTAAACTTCCGACTTCAAATGTACAAACCCCTCATTTTTTATTTGTACATGTGTCTTGTTCTAGTAGAATTACATCTATATGTACTGTTCTATCTGATATGACATCTAGTGGCCCTTTGGGTTACTTTAGATTACAACAGGTGTCTGTAATTATCTCTGGCTCGCTAAGGCTGCCCAAGTCTGATCTTTTCCCCATTCATTGGTCATTTGACCAATCAGATCAGCACAGAAAATGATCTGATGTGATTAGTCAAAAGACCAATTAGTGGAAAAAAACTATCAGAATTGGTCTGAATAAACGCAGAGTTCGTGGCCTTATCTGTCCCACTGTTTGTAGAGATTTGCTCTGATGAAGGTTGAATGACCGAAAGCCAATAAAGAAATTTGAATCTGTTTCTTTTTTTCCCTTTCTTAAGTCAGTAAATTCTAGAACCTATTTTCATACATTCAAATAACTTCCTGGTTTTCGTGACACAGACACGATTTTATCCATGTACACTAAAAGTAAATAAAACCATCTTAATTGAGTAGAACTGTATGAAGCTATCAGAAGATCTACATACAAACCTATTTTACATAGTTTTATCTCCGGTGAGATCCGCAGCAGTCTCCGTAGTCGATCATTCTCCTCCTGGTACTCCGCTACTGTTTTCGCAAATGCCCCAGAAATCTCCAGAGCAGCAAACGCTGTTAAACGCTCATTTAAAAACTCTCGAAACGACTGTAGTTTAGACATTTTCAGTGGACTGAGAGTTGGGTGTTCAGCTAGTATGGCTTCTTGAAGTGGGTCCTCCAGAACACATTCACTTTTCACACAAGGAGGAGTGAATATGAACTCTATGATATCAGCCTCCAGCCCTTGAAGCTGCTCTTCCTCCTGACTGGTCCTGAGTTCCTCCTGTTCCTCTTTAATCTGTGTGGGCTCTGGGTCCTCCTGCCCCAGACTGGGGCTCCACTCCTGCTCACAGTGCTGCTGCTCAGGGGGAACCTCCTCTTCAGAGACAGAGAGCTGTAGGGAGTCTGGAGGGAAGGAGAGGAGCAGAGGTTACCACAGTCCCCAAATCCAGAACTAATTCTAGAAAGCGTCCAGTATTATATAGAGCCATTGTTGCATGGAACTCTGTTCCATCTCATATTGCTCAAATAAACAGCAAACCTGGTTTTAAAAAACGGATAAAGCAACACCTCACGGCACAACGCCTCTCCCCTATTTGACTTAGATATGTTGTGTGTATGTATTGATATGTAGGCTACGTGTGCCTTTTTTAAACATTTATGTATTTCTGTCCTTGAGCTGTTCTTGTCTATTAATGTTCTGTATTATGTCATGTTTCATGTTTTGTGTTGACCCCAGGAAGAGTAGCTGCGCTTTTGCAACAGCTAATGGGAATCCTAATAAAATACCAAATAACCACAGTATGAGTCATAATACCCATAAAACCTAATGGTCAAACAGGGAAATGGTTCTAAACGTTTTTCCACCATTCATTTTTCCCATAGGGGATTTTACAATGACTTAAAACAAGGACTGTGTTTCATGTAGGCTTACCATGGGATGACGTTTTGATAACCGTGTAAATCTCTCTAGGACAAGGTGACTTTTATCAATATATTCGCCTCTATTTATCCCCCCAAAATGAAATGCTAATTAGCTCCTAATGTGGCTATCATAAAGAACTATAAACGCCATGATGATCTGGACGAGACTGCCAAATCGAGGCAAAGGTAAGAATCTCATGATTAACTATCTAATGTTATCTAAATATAGTAATGCATAAATTGGCTTTATTTCTTACAAATTGACAATTCTGTGAACTGTCTTGTGCAAGTTTTAAATGGACAAAATACCTGATCGCAAAGGTGTCAGTTAGAGATGACGTGCAGGCGCTTGCAGGGATTTGTAGTTTTGTATTATGTCTACTTTGATGCTAATTAGCATTTTAGAATCACAGTAAAATAGTGAAACATTAAAAAAGTTATCCTTTTTAGATAAAACTATACTAAATACATTCACGTCACCAAATAATTGATCAAAACACACTGTTTTGCAATGAAAGTCTACAGTAGCCTCAGCAGCACTCTGTAGGGTAGCACCATGGTGTAGCCGGAGGACAGCTAGTTTCTGTCCTCCTCTGGGTACATTGACTTCAATACAAAACCTAGGAGGTTCATGGTTCTCACCACCTTCCATAGACTAACACAGTAATTATGAAAACTTCCGGACAACGTCCTCCAACCTATCAGAGCTCTTGCAGCATGAACTGACATGTTGTCCACACAATCATAGGATCGGATAATTAATCTAGTACTGAAAGCATAAACTACAGCTTGCTAGCACTGCAGTGCATAAAATGTGGTGAGTAGTTGACTCAAAGAGAGAAAGACAATAGTTGAATACTTTTGAACGAATTAATTTCTTCAAAAATGAAGGAGAAAAATGAAGGAGAAGCTAGAGAGAGAGCTAGCTATATTTCGTATATATTTCACTTCCACTTCCACTTACTTAGCTAGCGAACGCAGCTAGCTAGTTTATCCAACTCAAACACCCGGCTCAAACAGAGAGGGATGCTATGTTAGCTAGCTGGCTATGGCTATCCAACACTGCAACTCTTCCAAGTCAAGGTAAGCTTTAGGTTCTATTAATTGATTGCCACCGGGGCCCACCGGCATAACTGCTCAACTGCTTGCTGACTACACTGTACTGCATGATTGTAGAGGGTTTACTAACGTGTTAGTTCTAGTAGCTATGCTGACTATGACGGTTAGTGGTTATGATATGAAGGTTTGGCTTGTAAAGATTTTTTCGCCTTGTCACAGACAGCTGATGTGTTGTGCATTGAAGGGAAAAGGTGAGAGGAGGAGAGCACGTAAATGCGAGAAGGTATTGTAGCTACAACGATAAAAGTGATTATACTGTTTGTATGTGGATGCTATGAAAGTGAACTGTGTTTATGTGTGATCAGGGGTGTATTCATTCCGCCTGAAAATGTTTCTTAAACGGAAGCAAACGGAACGAAACGGGATAAAACATACCTGAATTTGTCCAATAGAAACACTTGTTTGCAACTGTTGGACTAATGATTACACCCTAGATCAGCTAGATGCAGGCAAGAGTGTGCAAGGTGGTATTAAATGTGTCGCTGTCTGTCACCTTGATTACTAAAATATTTCTCAACATATGCATCATTGTTTTAAACTTTCATTCATAAGTTAGTTTGTAGCAACCTCATGATGGTTATATGGAAAATGCCAGTATCATGTAGTAGCCTAAACCTATCAATGTTACATTGAGCTGGGTGAATGGAATTTGAATAAGTCATTCAATATGCTGTAATAGAAATAAGGCCGTGCTCATTAAACAGAACTGACCGCCACTGCCGAATATATTGCTAAAAGTCACCTTGTCTGATAGAGAATTACAAGGTTATCAAAACGTCATGCCAGTGTAAGCCTACACGAGACACAGTCCTTATTTCTAAGGTTTTTCTCAAATCCCCCCCCCCCAAAAAAAAAAAACAATGGTGGATAAAACGATTGGAACCAATTCCCTGTTTGCTCTACACTGGCTTTAGGGTGGGGGTCAATTTGAATTTCAAGACTAGGTAAACTATCATTCCAATTCAATAATTAAAAACTAGAATCCTTTTTCAATTACTTCTCAGTAATTGGAGAGAAGTTATTTACTTTAAAGTTTATTCATTTTTGAATTATAAATTAAAATCACTTCCTGTTTTTAGGACAATGTTTTATCCATACACGGTAAGTTTAAAAACAACTTCTTAAAAATGGATGATGTGGTGATCAGTTAACAGTTCATCAATAAAGTGGAACTATAGCTAGCTATCAGTATCTACATACGAACCTATTCTACATAGTTGTATCTCCGGAGTCAAACGCAGCATTCTCCGTAGCTGATCATTCTCCTCCTGGTACTCCACTACCGTTTTCTCAACTGCCCCGAAAATCTCCACAGCAGCCGCCGTTAAACGCTCATTTAAAAACACACGCAACAACTGTTGTTTAGACATTTTCAGTAAAATGAGAGCAGAGTAGCCTATTTAACTTAGTCAGTATGTCTTTCTTTAAGCCACAAAAAAAAACTCGTTACCAATCCTACTTCCGTGTTCTAGTGAAGGAATCTAAGGACATCCTTTGTTCTAGTAGTTGGTGACGAACCCCAACAGCGTCGCCAGCTGGATGGGAGTTTACTGTGCAAGGCAGCCTACAGACCAGTAGGAAAGGAAAACGATGACTACATGTAGATAAACAGTGGTTATCATTACTATAGGATGATCTGGGGGAATCAATTATTCATCAGGAGTCAACTGTTTATCATTACTCCATACAAGATTAAATCAACATGAATGATCAGCATTAGGTCAGAATTTATGAGAAATACTCTTGGACAAATGCAAGGATAACTTTTCTGGAATTGTTTTTCATTTAATGTATCAATTACATCAACCTGACCAAAATCAAATGATCAGATATTCCTGTTTCTAATGAAGGGAAAAATTAAACAGACTTTGAACAGCAGACCTGTGAATTTCCTACAATACTCTGTACTGTTTGATCATTACCTCATCATTCAAATCAAATCAAACTTTATTTACATACAATGTTTTAAAACATTAAGTCCATGGTACAGTATATATTTATCTGAGACCCACAGTATGAATGGTCTGGAGTTGCTCTCCTTTCCTAAGAGTGTTGTCCACATCCTGCCTTGTTATTCCCATTTCCTGACTGAAGATGTTCTTTCTTCTTTCCTCTCTTTGTGGATATTATCCATATGCTTCAGCAGATGAGTCTTCTGAGTGAATCTTTTACCACAGACTGAGCAGCCATGTTGTTTCTCTCCTGTGTGAGTCTGACTGTGTTCATTTAGGTGCTTCGTGTGATTCAAGCTTTTCCCACAGTCATCACAGCTAAATGGCTTCTCTCCTCTGTGAATGCATATAATGTCTGGTTAGGTGTTACTTGGGATTGAAGCTTTTCCCACGGTCACCACAGCTAAATTGTTTCTCTCCTATGTGAATCCTCATGTACATGGACAGATGTTTGAAGGTCTTGCCACAAAAGGAGCAGGTGCACGGTTCCCCCAATGGGGGGGGTTCGGATCCAATGTTAAACTAGGATCCAATGGGGAAGAGTCAAGGACTGAAGTGGGTTTTCCTGATCACATTCACTTTTCACACAGGAAGGAGTGAAATTGAACTCTGTGATATCAGGCCCCAGCTCTTGAATCTGCTCTTCCTCCTGACTGGTCCTGAGTTCCTCCTGTTCCTCTTTAATCTGTGTGGGCTCTGGGTCCTCCTGCCCCAGACTGGGGCTCCACTCCTGCTCACAGTGCTGCTGCTCAGGGGGAACCTCCTCTTCAGAGACAGAGAGAGAGAGCTGCAGGGAGTCTGGAGGGAAGGAGAGCTTATCTATATACCACATAATTAAATAGAACACTTGAATCATACAGTTGAACATTTTATCTATACAGCTTTTAGACATGCCTGAGTGCAAATCGCTAGGCCAGCTTCCAAACCGAATTTGTAGATTTTTACAAAGTCCATATTGATACAGAAACACTAAACAATAATTACGATTTTTTAATAACAAGCTGATTGACAAAGTCATGAAACATTTGAAGGATTTAATGCCACCACCCCTCCAAATCAAGAACAGCCACCTATTTCTCTGGAGACATAATAACAATTGTTTGGTATTTTATCAGGATCCCCATTAGCTGTTGCGAAAGCAGCAGCTACTCTTCCTGTGGAAGTGTAAAAAAAAACATAATAAAACATTAATAGACAAGAACAGCTCAAGGACAGAACATACATTTAAAAACGTCACACATAGCTTACATATCAATACATACACACAAAATATCTAGGTGAAATAGGGGAGAGGCGTTGTGTCTTGAGGTGTTGCTTTGTGTTTTTTGAAACCAGGTTTGCTGTTCATTTGAACAATCTGAGATGGAAGGGAGTTTCATGCAATCATGGCTCTATATAATACTGTACGCTTTCTTGAATTTGTTCTGGATTTGGGGACTGTGAAAAGACCCCTGGTGGCATGGCTGGTGGGGTCAGTGCTGTGTGTCAGTGCTGTGTGTAAGTTGACAGTATCTATAGTGAGGGAAAAAAGTATTTGATCCCCTGCTGATTTTGTATGTTTGCCCACTGACAAAGACATGATCAGTCTATAATTTTAATGGTAGGTTTATTTGAACAGTGAGCGACAGAATAACAACAAAAAAATCCAGAAAAACGCATGTCAAGAATGTTATAAATTGATTTGCATTTTAATGAGGGAAATAAGTATTTGACCCCTCTGCAAAACATGACTTAGTATTTGGTGGCAAAACCTTTGTTGGCAATCACAGAGGTCAGACGTTTCTTGTAGTTGGCCACCAGGTTTGCACACATCTCAGGAGGGATTTTGTTCCACTCCTCTTTGCAGATCTTCTCCAAGTCATTAAGGTTTCGAGGCTGACGTTTGGCAACTCGAACCTTCAGCTCCCTCCACAGATTTTCTATGGGATTAAGGTCTGGAGACTGGCTAGGGCACTCCAGGACCTTAATGTGCTTCTTCTTGAGCCACTCCTTTGTTGCCTTGGCCGTGTGTTTTGGGTAATTGTCATGCTGGAATACCCATCCACGACCCATTTTCAATGCCCTGGCTGAGGGAAGGAGGTTCTCACCCAAGATTTGACGGTACATGGCCCCGTCCATTGTCCCTTTGATGCGGTGAAGTTGTCCTGCCCCCTTAGTAGAAAAACACCCCCAAAGCATAATGTTTCCACCTCCATGTTTGACGGTGGGGATGGTGTTCTTGGGGTCATACGCTGCATTCCTCCTCCTCCAAACACGGCGAGTTGAGTTGATGCCAAAGAGCTCGATTTTGGTCTCATCTGACCACAACACTTTCACCCAGTTCACCTCTGAATCATTCAGATGGCCTTGTATATGTGCTTTCTTGAGCAGGGGGACCTTGCGGGCGCAGCAGGATTTCAGTCCTTCACGGCGTAGTGTGTTACCAATTGTTTTCTTGGTGACTATGGTCCCAGCTGCCTTGAGATCATTGACAAGATCCTCCCGTGCAGTTCTGGGCTGATTCCTCACCGTTCTCATGATCATTGCAACTCCACGAGGTGAGATCTTGTATGGAGCCCCAGGCCGAGGGAGATTGACAGTTATTTTGTGTTTCTTCCATTTGCGAATAATTGCACCAACTGTTGTCACCTTCTCACCAAGCTGCTTGGCGATGGTCTTGTAGCCCATTCCAGCCTTGTATAGGTCTACAATCTTGTCCCTGACATCCTTGGAGAGCTCTTTGGTCTTGGCCATGAGTTTGGAATCTGATTGATTGATTGCTTCTGTGGACAGGTGTCTTTTATACAGGTAACAAACTGAGATTAGGAGCACTCCCTTTAAGAGTGTGCTCCTAATCTCAGCTCGTTACCTGTATAAAAGACACCTGGGAGCCAGAAATCTTTCTGATTGAGAGGGGGTCAAATACTTATTTCCCTCATTAAAATGCAAATCAATTTATAACATTTTTGACATGCGGTTTTCTGGATTTTGTTGTTGTTTTTCTGTCTCTCACTGTTCAAATAAACCTACCATAAACATTATAGACTGATCATTTCTTTGTCAGTGGGCAAACGTACAAAATCAGCAGGGGATCAAATACTTTTTTCCCTCACTGTATGCTGCAATAGTCTATGTGCCGAGGGGCTAGGGTCAGTCTGTTATATCTGGTGTTATTCTCCTGTCTTATCTGGTGTCCTGTGTGAATTGAAGTATGCTCCCTCTAATTCTCTCTCTTCCTGTCTCCCTCCCCTCCCGGAGGACCTGAGCCCTAGGACCATGCCTCAGGACTACCTGGCCTGATGACTCCTGGCTGTCCCCAGTCCACCTGGTCATGCTGCTGCTCCAGTTTCAACTCTTTTGCCTGCGGCTATGGAACCCTGACCTGTTCACAGGACGTGCTACCTTGTCCCAGACCTGCTGTTTTTCAACCCTCTCTCTCTACCGCACCTGCTATTTCAACCTCTAAATGCCCGGCTATGAAAAGCCAAGTGACATTTACTCCTGATGAACTGACCTGTTGCAACCTTTACAACCACTGTGATTATCATTTGACCCTGCTGGTCATCTATGAACGTTTGAACATCTTGGAGAAAAATCTGGCCTTAATGGCCACGTACTGTTATAATCTCCACCCGGCACAGCCGGAAGGGGACTGGTCACCCCTCAGAGCCTGGTTCCTCTCTAGGTTTCTTCCTAGGTTTCTGCCTTTCTATGGAGTTTTTCCTAGCCACCGTGCTTCTACATCTGCATTGCTTGCTGTTTGAGGTTTTAGGCTGGGTTTCTGTATAGCACTTTGTGACATCTGCTGATGTAAAAAGGGCTTTATAAATACATTAGATTGATTGATTGACCATTCAAACAATTTTGAATTTTCAACACATTCATGTTTCTTATAAAAGTGATGCAGTCAGTCTCTCCTCTACTTTTAGCCAAGAGAGACTGGCATGCATAGTATTTATATTAGCCCCCTGATTACAGTGAAGAGCAAGATGTGTCGCTCTATTCTGGGGTAGCTGCCATTTTCTAGGTCGCTTCTTTGCACTAAGTAATTTAGTCTCTTCAACTTGCTCACTAGCCACATTATTCATTACCAGATTCAGCTGAGCTCTAGACCTTATGGAATGATTTGTACCAAAGACAATGCTCTTAGTTTTAGAGATGTTAAAGACTAGTTTATTACAGGCCAGCCATTCTAAAACTGACTGCAACTCTCTGTTTAGTGTTGCAGTGATTTCACTAGCAGTGGGTGCGGATGCGTATAGGGTTGAATCATCAGCATTCATGGACACACAAGCTTTGTTTAATGCCAGTGGCAGGTCATTGGTAAAAATAGAAAAGAGTAGAGGGCCAAGAGAGCTGCCCTGCGGTACACCACACTTTACATGCTTAACATTAAAGAAGCTTCCATTAAAGAAAACCCTCTGTGTTCTATTAGATAG